CTGAAAGGATGTTAGAACTAAGTCTAAGAGAGAGTTGCTCAATATATTATTAAAGACGAGACGTTATACTATATATTGCTTTAGTAAAATATTCAATATTTATTGCTTTATTAAATTTTAAAAACTGTGATCAGAACTTTTGGTATACCCTAAGTACTTCTTCTATTTCATCAACAAACATGTCTGAATCTTATTGGGATAAACAGGTGAGTTTACTTGTATAAATCTTCTTTTCCGTGTATCCAATGACAGATGTTTTATTGTTATTTACCTCGTACAAAATTTATAATATTTTCTTTTTGAGTTGTCAGCGTCGTTTGGCAATGGAAAAACAGTTTGGAGATATCGTCGGATATGTTCTTGGAGCTGCAGTCGGTTTCTTCATCACGGGACTTTCTTTTTACACAGTATATCATTTGTGGGTAAGATACAATAGTTATCTTATTACTTCTCTTACTTCAACGATAATTTTTGATGTTTCTTAGAAAAAGGAGCCCGTGATTGGTCTTATAATTTTGATATTTGTTATCGCTTTAATAATGTGTGGAATGGCTATTCGCTTTTTGGTTATGACTATTCAAGTTCTTATTGAGAAGTGGTACCATCAATATCAACAGTATCACCTTCGAGAACCTATCAAATATAACAGTTCGTCTCGTTCTGCAAAGAACAAATGGTGGTCGTCAAATCAATATATTCACAAGTTAAAGATGATGAGTGGAGCTTCCATCCAAGAAAACCATCAGTTCAATATTTAATTTATCTTCAAACCTTAGATATGTACCATTGTTCTGTTACATATCAATACTGATTTGTTTCTTAGATAATCTTGCTTTTCTCGAAGCGCTTCATGTATATTTGTTTGTGTCTATTCTATTATAATTGTATACTAGTTCATTGCTTCATTAATGAAATTGTCTCTATATGTTAGTTGTATAAATACATTCGTGTCAAATACCTCAGCATATTTTGTTTATATCATAGACGGTGACGTGTCTAATGTAGGCTATTCGAAGGACGATCTCTTTTTTTTTCAAAATAGACGATGATGCTCAAATGAAAGACAGACGATTCAAGAAAATATTTGCTTATCTATTTGTGAGATAGAATCGTAAAAAGAATCTATAAAAACACCATCAATCGATCATTGATTTCAATACGATATGAGTACAGTAAACAATCTCTATTCATTTTTAATGAGAATAAGATAATATGCCGTAAAATAAAATCAATCATTACAGTTTTGATGATTTCAGTGAACTAAACGCATCAAGTTTGTTCATTTGATTCTAAATGATACAATCTTTGATGATTAATTTCATACAGAAAAAAAAAACAATTTTTGTATAATTCTTAGAAATATATTTGACTACGAATAAAAGTAGAAGAAGTTTTACATGTAAGTAACTGTATTTTGACTTAAAATATCTTTAATAGAATTCGGAATATTCTTGTAAAATTCTCATTAATAAAAATATCAACATGGTTTTTTTAACGCTTTTCATGTAAATATGAATCATAAATACTAAAAACGAGTCCGTTCGATCAACTACTTCAGGTCGAATTTTGAAAGGTGATAATATGAATTCAATGTAATCGTGTTTAGTTATTATTTAGTGATTGAATGTCTTCGTCGGTCGCTGTAGTACCTAATATTGCTGAAGCAAGTCTTCGAAATATAGTTGAACAAACAAGTCTTAAATGGATATTTGTTAGAGGAAAAGATGAAGTTGGAAAAACAACATGCAGGTATTATATTGGATCTATTTTTTCAATTGTTTTTAATTGATTTCATTTATTTTTAGTTGTAGTTTAGCTTTACTTTTAGCGAAGGTTCGAGAAACAATTGTAATTTTAAGTACTGATCCAGCTCATAATATATCCGATGCATTTAATCAAAAATTTACTAAAAAACCAACAAAAGTTAATGGATATGAAAATTGATTTGGTATAGTTTGAAATTTGTTTGATTTATTTTGAAAATTTCTAAAGTAAAAATTCAGTAAGAAATCGATCCCTCAGAAAGAACTAGTGCATAACCTGATGATAATGAAGAAATGATTCTTTCTTAGATGTGCAATATAGATAAATCATATTTAGGAATACTTCATTCAGTGATCTTTCATATAATAGTTGTTCATTTGATTCTACAACTTGTTTTATCATGTCTTAATGAATATGTATGTATTTTTAGGTTTTTAATTATTTTATTTATATTTAATAAATTAGATCTTCGGAATTGATCATGTATAAATAACATCAAATGAAAATCAATATTCGGAATTATTCTCGTGCTTGTAATCAATATTCTTGTGTATGGAAAAAGAAAAAAAATGCTTTTCTAATTATGCTAAAACTTTCAATGCAAAACAATTTGTTGTTAAAATAGAGAAAAATTAGTATCGTAGAAAATTATTTGTTGAAGGCAAATTAAATTCAGTTTTGCTTTAATTATGTCGTATGTCCTTTGCTAGTCGTTTAAATTTATTATGATTTTGTCCTCATTGCACATTGGTATAATAAAGAGAATTTAATTGATAAATATCACGCCTTGTATTCCAGCAATAGGAAAATTAAATGATGTAATGATATTATTTAACCATTTCAGGCCCATCGTAGTAAACATAGTACGGTTTTTCAAGTTTTTTAATTTTTGAATAACTCGCGAACGGAAAAAGATATCGAGATGCGGTTTTCTCCATAACATAGAAGAGAGTTCGGTGCATACATCTATATAAAAGTTATAACCCTAATGAGATCACTCAAGTAATAAGTTTGATGAGTGTTTAGGGTGTGGGTGGGTGGTAGTGCGGAATGTGGGTGTGGCTGTCGGTGTGGGTTGTAAATGTGGATGCAACAAACACTCACACCCGGCCCACACCCACGCACTCACACCATCCCACATCCAGTACAAAGAATTATTTTTATTTCAGTCAAATAAAATCAAGGAAAGAAAAATAAATTTATTTTATATTAGCTTTCTACAAAATGAAGTTTTTTTTCTTTTTGATGGAACAGTGTGGTTATTTTGATCTCAAATTCAAGGTAAGAACGAAAACGACATTTTTCTTTGATTTTCGAATTCAAATAGAAAATTTTCATGAAAATATAGAAAAAAGTTTCATCTGATACAAAATAGGGATAGAAAAGAAAAAAGATTTATTTGTGCTAATTTATGAATATAGATTCGATAAAAAAAAACTAAACAAGCTTTCATTTTTCTTTTGTTCAGTTTTTATAATCTTCGAATGATGTTCATGCTCAAAGTTTAACGGACGTTTTTTAAATAATCTCTAAGAAAATAAATCTCGGAATTTATCTCATTTTAGTTGTTTATTCTAATTTCATCTAAAGACAAAATCATGAATATCACTCTGATAATCTGTGACAAAAATTTGGACAGATTGTGTGTTTTGATCTTAAAAGAAGAATTGAACGAAGTAATACTTGTTACTTTATCGTGAGTAAAATATATTTAATGAGACAAACTTC